AACAAATTAGATTAGCCGTTGTCATTGTGATTAACAATAAAATATTCTAATACATTTATCATTTTTGTTTTCAAATCAAATGATCTAACTAGAATATACAAGTTAAAATAAATTTCTTTTTGTAATTAATTTTAATGTGTGAAAAAAAAAAAAAAAAGAAAAAAAGATCATAATCAATTTTGATGATCCATTTGTTATTCTCTAACAATTCTATGTTAATCCTGATTAGAAGAAAAAAAACAACACGAAGAGTTATCTTGATTAGGATACAAGTCATTGGAAATTGGAAAACGCATATACTCATTTCAGACACAACAGGGTGCCTACCTATATATGTTATTATTATTGTTGTGCATACCGTTGCACGTCGATATTGTATTGAGTGATTAGTGTTTAAGTATGCTAAACATATAGAATACTCTCAAGCTTGCATCATTCACGATAGAGAATAAATTTCGTATATAGATTTTTTTTCAGGTGAATGAATTGCTCACATATATAATATATCTTTTTTCCAATTGGATGGAAAAAAAAAGAAATAAATCGATTTAAGAGAAAAAGAATTCACCAATCAGAAATCAGTTGACATTTTTTCTCTCTCTCTCTCGTTCTTTTTTTTTTTTTCTTTATATGATAGAATCTTTTTTTCATCAGCGCAAAAAAAGAATACAGGTAGAAGACTATACATACAATTTGTGCTTTATTTGTTTGATTTAACTACGAAATTATTTATTGGTATGATGTTATTTTTGTCTACTTTTACTTCTTTCATTTTTTTTTCCTTGTTAAATACAAATATTCGTATATAACACTTGGGTTGTAGCAAATTAGACAGAGTTAAAACAATCATACAGGTGATTGAAATTTCATCGCCAATTATTTGTTAGAAAAAAGAGTTCTTCTTGAACGGTTGGTACTGAGAAATGTTTTCTTTTTCTTTTTTTTTTTTACAGATTCTATAATGTCCCGAACAAAGAATGATGAACTAAAGTTTTCTATTCGAAATTTGATTGATACAACATCATGTAATAAAAAAGAAAAACGAATATCGAATCAATCATCTACTATTTGTCATTCATCAAAACGATTAGTTATTGAAACTCAAACACCATTAATATGTCGTCCAATTCCAATAATTAATGATAAAATTCCTCATCCATGTTGGTCATTTTTATCACAATTAACAAATAAAAATTCTTCTGGAAATTTACCATTACATTCGTCATTAATTTTTCTTAGTAAAATGAGTCAAGTTTGGGAACATATGCAACGAACACAAATTTCACCATCAATAACAACAGAAAATGATAATGTTTCTGATGATGATACAGATATGGATACATCATCTATACGTCATGATATTGAAATCGAAGATGATGATGATGAGGATGAGGATGATGATGATGATGAGGAGGAGGAGGAGGATGTAGGTGAATGTTCAAGTAGTAGTGGTGTTGATAAATTAAATCCTTCATCAAACAGTGAAGAAAATGATAAACTAAAAAATTATCCTTGCACACAATGTGGAAAAGTAAAATGAATTTTTTTTCTATCAATATATAGAAGTTTTTCTTTTTTAAAATAGATCTTTACTGCTCAATATAATTTAGTTCGACATATGCCAGTACATACTGGTATTCGTCCATTTATTTGCAAAGTAAAATGTTTTGTTTTTTTTTTTTTTTTTGTTATAATAATTAATTATATTAAGGTATGTGGAAAAGGTTTTCGACAAGCATCAACATTATGTCGTCATAAAATAATTCATACATCTGAAAAACCACATGCATGTCGTATATGTGGAAAAGCATTTAATCGTTCATCAACATTAAATACACATATGCGTATACATCAAAATTTTAAACCATGGGTAAAATTTTATAATATCATATTGGTTTAGAAATTGTTCTTTGTTTTTTTTTAGATTTGTGAATATTGTGGAAAAGGTTTTCATCAAAAAGGAAATTGGAAAAATCACAAATTAACACATTCAACTATAAAACAATATAAATGTTCTATATGTTCAAAAGTAAAAAAAAGCAAAAATTATTTTTGTACACCATTCATTTAAATTATTTTAGGCTTTTCATCAAATATATAATTTAAAATTTCATATGTATACACATTCAGAAGTAAAACCATATGCATGTATGATATGTTCAAAAGGTTTTTGTCGAAATTTTGATTTAAAAAAACATGTGCGTAATGTACATGTAAGTAACACAAATACTGGCAGGAACAAATAAGACTAAAACTTTTTTTTTTTTCCTTTTTTTTTTGTATGTGTGTTTAATAAATAAATCTATTTTTTGCGTGTATATTTCACTTTATGAACATGCAATGAATAAGAAAATTTCATAGTTCAAGAGAGAGAGAGAGAGAGGAAACTGAAACGATAATTAGGAAAGGTGGAATTGGGATCATACATTTTACTGTAGTTATTTTTGTCTTCCTGTAATTGTTAAGTCTGTTAAAGGAAGCCCGCCGGCAACAAGTATATCCGTTTTACTTTGTAGAAAGGTACTTTTTAACGGAAAAAGATAACAGGATATGTGCTTGATATGATATTCTATTTTTTACTTTGGAAATATTCAATATAAAAATATGAAACTCAGTGATGAACAAGTTAATTATCTCAAATCATTGACTTGAATTTTTGTTTTTTAAAATGTATTAGACAAAGAAAAGAATAGAATTTCATTCAAGAATAATTTTACATGATGCAATTGATTTGACTTATGTTTTTTTTTGTTTTTTTGTCAAAGTAAGTACGAAACATTTACATATTTCATCAAAAACTAATTATTTTATTCCGAATGATCAATTTATTCTATTTCTTTCTTTTTTTTTTATAAAAAGATTATTTATCGGAGAAATAAGACATAGTTAGAAAAAAAAAAAGAAACTTGTTAACCACTTGTCGCTTCGTTCGGGATCCCTGCAGTGTGTACGAGACGATGATCATCACCATCATCATCATTTTTTTTTCTTTGCTCTTGTGTTTAACTGTTGTCGGCCAAGAGCACTCATAATCGACAAGAAAAAAAAAAAAGAAATCAGTTCCATATTGTAAATTCATTCGGCATTCTTTTCTTTCTATTTTCAACATTATTTTAATAGGATCTTTTTCTTTGCCTCATCACCACTTGACAAACACTCAAAAAATCGAGGACATCTCGATGTATATATGCTTGATCATTAGTCAAAACGACGACGTAAATTGGATCTCTTGTGAGATTTAGTTTTTTTTTTCATTGACATCGTCTTATATTTGATTGGTCGATTAAATAGATAAAAAAAACCGTCGTTTAAACTCAATTAGTTCTGTTAGTGGATTTACTGAAACTGAAATTTAGAAGTCAATTTTAATTTGCTTGTTATTAAGAATGAATTAGTACTGACCCGCCCAGAATTGATCTCGGATCAGAGGTATATTCAAATCGCATGAAATTTTCAGTCCTATACATTGACATTTTTCGGAGATATTCAACAAACAAGGGTTGGTTAGCAATTCAAAAGTCTCTATGAACCTTCATTCTATACACTTTTGTTTGATAGAGCATGTCAGGATGCAGAATATGACAGAGATCTGTTTTTTTTAAATTCTTAATTTTTAAGGGAAGGAAAGTTTTGCTCTAATTATTACACTATTCTTCTGTATAATGGTAATAACCTACAATCAAGCTTCTTCTAGAATTCTTGAATGTACGATCAAAAAAAAAACCATAAATAGAGAAAAAGATTTGTTGTTTTGCCTGAAAACAACATATGCTTCAAGAAGATGATAACAGAAATTATCAAAACTTTTCGCTAAAAAAAGGGGAATGTCGAATAAAAGATCAGATCTTAGGCTATCCTTCCATGTAGTTCTGACGGAAATTGACTTTTGTTTTTCAAGAGGCTTAACATAATGTTGATTTCCTCAGCATGAATTTTGCAGAAAAAAAAG